CGGCCGAGCGGGGCGGCTTGCACAAGCCCGGGCCCGTGGCTGTGGTGGCCCGTGCCCGCAAGGGGCTGCCGAGCTGCAAGCGGTCCTGGAAGGGGGCGGAGGGAGGGAGGTAGCGGGGTTTGCAGGCAGCCCCGACAAAGAACCACACACACACACTTTGCAGATATCTTCCCCTTGATCTCAACCGTTTCCTTGCTCAGGAGGAGGCTTTTTTGGCGGGCCCTCTTGCCCCTGGACTCTGACAGCGGCAGCTCGTGGCCCCAGGCTGGATCACACTCGCGAGCCGAGGCCGCTTTGAAAACCAAGTCGGGCCCTGCACGGCTGTCTCGGCACTGCTCGCTCACCGCGCAGCGCGGCGCGGGGTTCAGTCCGGACCCCCTGCCGGCCTTCCTGCCACAGAGCCGGCTCTGCCCCTGGACAGCTCGCTGCCCCCAGCAGCTGGGCCGAGGGAGCGGTCCATCCTCTCGGGAACCACAGACCCACCCGTCTCACGGACCAGCTGCTTAGCGAGGTGAAAGGCAGCGTTTCACCCTCTGCCACCCTGCAAAGCCGGGCCCACCGCTGCCCTGGTGGGCTCCTTGGTGAACTTGCTGTCTGGACTTCTCCCATCCCAGCAGCAAGCTCCACCACCCTCCTTTGCACTCCTGCATCAGTCCCCAGGGAACTTTTCTTAGCCAAACCTCCGGGCTTATCAGCCTGCAAATGGCAACAAGGAAAGCGATACTGGGCATCCCCACCTCTGCCCACATCACACCGTGGGTGTGGTGGCACCGAAACCTGGAAGGCACCAACTGCTGAAGGGCTTGAGGCCCTCCACAGAAAGCCTGAAAATATCTAGCCTTGTTCTGCCCTCGCCCTTTGGGCAGCAGCTGCTTGCGGAACAGGAGCGGTGCGGAAGCCAAGGGACTCATATTGGTGCCTCAGAGGACCTGCCAGTTTGCTGGACATTCACAGCTGGTCCAACTAAAACCATGCCGTTTTTAACCAATAAAGGCACTTATTGCAGTTTTTTTTTTTCGACAGAGAAAGCTGAAAGGGGACCTTTCTCTCCAAAAGAAAGCTGAGAGGGGACCTTGTGGCAGCGTACAAATTCATAAGGGGAGAGCAACATGAAGTAGGCGATGATCTGTTCACCAGGGCACCCCCTGGGAATGACAAGGAACAACGGCCATAAGATACTGGAGAGAAGGTTTTGGGCTGGACTTTAGGAGAAAGTTCTTCACGGTCAGGGTTAACAAAATCTGGAATGGGCTCCCAAGGGAGGTTGTGCTCGCCCCATCCTTGGGGATCTTCAAGAGGAGACTGGACAGGCACCTGGCTGGGACCAAAAGTCCTCAGTTGCTAGGTCTCCACTTCTATACTCCTCCAGTGCTTCCCAACACTAGAGAATCTAGCAACTGAGGACTTCTTTTAACTTCTCTACATCACTTCAGAACGTTGTAGGGATGGAGACCAAAGGTGCGACCGAAACAACGGTCAGCAAGCGATCAATGACAAATTGATGATTTCATTTGTTAAGAGGCCCTCGAACACACAGAAATCTAGTGTCACATAGCAGTAATTACTACTACCCAATTTACTGTGTCATTTGTAATTGTTTTTAGTTCATTTCTGTATTTCAAGAAAGTATCTTGCTTCCAAAGGTGTTGAAAGTTTCCTCAATTTTAAAAAAATATTTACCAAAAAGCCAAACACATACGAAGCTTTCATTAACATGTGTTCTGGTACATAACACCATACATGCAGAAGAGTGTGTTCAACTTATTTGCAAGCAAAATCCATTTTAGCTTTTCAGAGTATTTGCTATCACTGTGAACCTCTCTCTCAGACTCTCCCTTTTCTGCTTCAAGTGATTTTCGATGGTCCTCGCTTCTTTCAAAATTCCATCAAGCTCTTGTACATATGAAGCATCCATCACTGCTCTCTCACTGAATTGGAAAAAATCCTCAAATTAAAATACTCAAACTTTGACTCTCAACTACTGCTTGTATTTGGATTCACTTTAATGGCTTAGAAATCTGTTACCTATCAGCCAACACAGTCTGACAAATCAGCTTGTTAATTCCACAAACAAACCCAAGGGTTTTGGCATTTCAGAATTCATTTGACCTTTCCCTTTCTTGACACTGCATGTGTACACTCCGGTACTCAATTTAGGCTGGCACTCGGCACATGTTCTTAGACAAGTTAGAAAAAATAAAAAACCCCTGCAGAAATTTACATTTTCCTTCACCAAGTAGCTAAGCATAGTTCCTTTCGTTTAACTTTGGCTCCACAGCAATTTTCCTGAATGCACTATTCTGAAAAACACTGACACCTATCAGAAG